AGTGATCACTTCTTTAAAAAGACCCAAAATAACAAACAAAAAAAAAACCCTTATGAATAGAAAGAAGTATAGAAGCATTAAGGGTTAAAATTGGAATTTTGATTCCAATTAGGGCAAAAACAGTAAGTTTCTATACTTGCTTACTATCTCTTCCCCTAATTTTCTCTGTGACTTCATTGTCTTCTGACTTTATCATCTTTCTGAGTCTCAATTTCATTAGTTCATCTACAATTAATTGGAATGTACTTTCTTGTTTCTTTTTTATTTTTTTTATTTGCATATCCTCATTCCCGTCTCTTCTTCTTCCCTGACTTCATCCTCTTCCTTGACTTAATTGACATATTCTCTTCTCTTCTTCTTTTTTTCTTTTTTCTTTTTTTTTTTTTTTTGGTTTTTCTCATCAACAAATTATCTTAATTTAGTTAAAATAAAGTTTTATGGAAATAGAAACAAAATTCTCTAGTATTGTCTTAATTCTATGCATTTCCTTTTTATCCCTCCTTTTATTTTTCACTTCTATTCTTGTTGGTAAAACTTCTAGAGCTCAAATCTATCTAGGTTAGGGGACCTTGATTAATAAACTTAGTATCATATCTGTACAGTATAGATAAAAATAGTTAGTTTTTCACTTTTAAGACTCCTGAATTTTAATACCAAAATAGAATTTAGTTTTATTTGCGCTAGGAAGGATTTAATTTATCAACCTATTACTTCCACCCTGTTCTACTTTTCCACTCGTAATTCTTGAACACTTCAAATTGTTACTTTTGCACTAACACTTTGGTTGGATAGAAAATAGTAAACGAGAGGGAGTGGAGGGGAATGAAAGAAAATAAAAGGGAATAGAGGGGAAGGAAGAGAAAAGGAAGGAAAGAAAATGGAAGGAAATGATTTGTGTTAATTTTGTTTGAATAAATAACAATGAGAAAGGGGAAGGAAAGGGAAGGATTTTATCATTTTATGTTTAGGTAAGTAACGTAAAAGGAAGGGAAGGATTTAAATAATTTTAAATTTACAAATTTACTCTTTTGGCTTGTAATGGGATTGCCTATTCTTGTCTAGCTGCAGCAACAATTCAAGGTGGAGCGTGTTAGCTTTATAGTTACTTGGCAACAAAAGAAGACCTGGATTTCCTCAACAACAACAAATATTGTCGAGGTACTTAAATGCAAATTAAAGGGAAAAAAAATTATTGGTGAAAAAAACACAAAATAATTTAACAAAGAAACAAAGAAATAGTAAATGAAGTAATTAGTAAACAATGAATTTGAAAATGAAAAGCAAATAATTTTATTATAATGTAGTCTTATTAATGTCAATAAACAATAAAATAAAATAATTACCAAAACCAAACAACAAAAAACAAAATATTCAAACATAAATTTCAATAGATTCAAAGCAGACTAGTCAAATTAAAAAAAAAAAAAAGTATGATGATTGTGCCCAAGACCTAGATGATTAAGAGGTACCGAAAACAACCCTCATAACAATATCCAAGCATTTCCCAAGAGGACATCTTGTATTGCTCTTAGTTTATTAGGATGCTCAAGCAGATACAATTAAGTAGAGGTAATTTTATTTGAGTTAAGTTCCAAATCCTCCAACATATTCCAAACTTCTACCTCGGAAAGTGGTGGATGTGAATTCCTTTCAAAAGGGGCTCAAGCTACATTATTGATACCTTCTTGAATGCCTATTGCTTCATGTTCAATTTTTTGTGGCTTCTTTACTTTTTTGGATTTTGAGCTAGTCGGCACATTTGATGGATCCTCAAGACATGTTAAAGGATCAAAATCAACATCATTAGTTCCAAAACCCTCCAAAGATACTTGATTTTGTGACACTATACCATCAATTTCCTCAATTGTATCGTGAGACTCATTATCACGTTTGGATGATTGCTTTTTCTTTAGTTCTTTTGCAATCTTTGACTTTTCACTTGTGACTTGATCTTTTCCAAATAATATCATAAATGTGTCATAGTGTAACACTAGCTTTGTCATCCACTCTTTAACATTCTTTTTAACCTACAAAACATCAACATTTTAAAATAAAAGTAATTAATTTAGGTCAAGCAAAATGTTAGCAAGGAAATTTAAATTAAAATTGCAACTTTATTAATGCATCCCAAACATTAGACGCAACATTCCATAGCTTGGTAATAGGGCTCCATGAAAAACCACTAAGGTTTTTGAATAAGTAATGAGATTTTGAAAGGTTTCCCTTTAAAGTTTTCATACAATTTTTAACCTTATCTTTGTCAACATCCTTCTTAAGTTTTTCTTTCAAATCATTAACAATATTTTCATATTGCCCAAACTATGTTAATGTAGGAAAGAATCAATAAGAGTGTCTATACTAATTTGCCTTCTTCACTTGCATTTTCAGTATTACTATTTTTCTTCTTCCCACCCATACTTAAATAAAAGAAGTTATTACATAACCTTATTCAATAAAAAATTATTACAAAGAAATTTTATTATTTATAACATTAAAAAAATAGAAGTAAATAATTCAAGAACAAAAAACTTAACTCAAGTCAAAATAATAGTTAAAAATTACAAAGAAGAAAATATGAAAGCCATAAAGTAAACTAGCAATTTTTATAATTGTGTCGCATATCAATAGCAATGACATCTCTTAACATTTCTCCCTTGGTGGCATCTTCTTCTTTCTCTCTAGAAGTATGGGTTTGTTGGAAATTATCTTGATTTCTTAATTCCATATCCACCTCAACTATAAGATCTTTATCAAGATCCACACCCATTAAAAAATTGTGAATAATGTAACAAAATAAAATAATTAAATTTTGAGTTTTTACTTCATAGAATGATTTAGTTCTGCCCCTTAAATTTTTGAAATCTCTTTTTCAAAACACCAAATGCTCTTTCAATAGCATTACGTAGGGCTGCATGCCTAAGATTAAATAATTCTTTAGTATTTTAAAGATGATTATTTGAATATTCTTTGAAATGGTATCAAACTCCTCTGTAAGGAGTTATGAGCCAACTTTTTAGTATAAACCCAACATTAACAAGGTAAAATTTTCCCTTTAGAATCATAAGCTTATCTTCTCTTTTTAATACATCCTTAATAATTCTAAAGTCTGAGATAGTCCCTTCCCATCCTGTTAACACATAGGTGAAGTTTATGTCAAATGTACAAGTAGCTAAGACATTTTAGGTTAAACACTCTTTTCTACCATGATATTTTGGGCACCTAAGGGTGAGACTTTTACACAAATGTGTGTTTCATCAATTGTACCCACACAATCCTTAAAATATGGGTAGAATCTACTACTTGACATTATCTCCACAGGGATTTCTGAACCATTTGGTTGTTTAATGAATTTATCTTCAACTACTATTATAGCTCTCAACACACGATGCAAATGTTGGCTAGTAGTTTCTTTGGAACGTCAAAACCAAAATTGGACTAAATGGTTTTTAGCATTATTAGCAAGAATAAAATGAATTTTAGCTACTTGTTCCTCAATAGTTGCTCTCCTTGTGGGTTGGAGGCCTCCCTCCCTTTTAAGTATGTTACAGAATTATAGAAAAGCTCTAAGCCCTATTTTTATGATATAACGACTTGTCTCACTTCCCACAATTTGGTTCATTATCTTATTTTGAACACGTTCTCTCTCATTAATTATGTTATCATCAAGAAGCTTTCTTTTTCGTCGACTTTGAAGAAACCACCTATAAACAATTGAACATATTACATGAGCAATGGCCTTCTTATGCATATCTCTTATGGTATCCATCTATATTTATGAAATACAAATAAAAATTCTATGTCATGATATATTTTGAATTCAATTGTATAACTAAGGTTCATAAGATTAAAAAAAAAAAAAAAACAAATATGAACTCAAAAATTTTAAATTAGAATTACCTGGATCAATGTCTAAGGGCTGTCAAACCAAACCTCTATCTTAGCTCTATCCTTGCAAATCTATGCATAAGTCATCAACTATTATCACCAAGCAAGAGAACAAAATCCAATTTAAAACACCTTCAGAAAAAAGAAGCATAAGCAACCAAAAAATTGGCTACAAAGCAACAAAAGCTAGTAAATAAATTCTGATAAAAGAAATAAACGATAAAGGTAATGGTGTAGCTTGGGTGCAAAATGTAATAGTTACTGGAAACCTAGATTCTAAAAGTATAAATTCCATGAATTTGACGGAGTTGGGGGGAAAGGCACTCAATATAAATATCTTGAAAACAATAACTCACTTGAATTGAATGTATGAAATGCAATCACTAATGGAAGATTAGAACTGATATTGACATGAATTAATCTCTATTATTTTTTTCTACTGGATAGACTTAGACTATAAACAAATGCAACAACAGACTTGGAACTAATTGTAATCTCTCAGCTAAATAGAGAAGCAAAAATATGATAAAGAATAAAGAGTGTTCAAGGTATACTCACTACTTTCTATCTCTTGTTCATTCCTTTAGTTTTGTTGCCCCAAGAAGGAGGAGGAGGACAATTTATGGTAATGAATAAAAAGGTTAATTTTGTAATTATCTTTTACACAATCTTAATGTTGTAGAAAATCCCTCCTAAACCCCCCAAATCGGGGGATTGCAAATCAAGAGATTTGAGGGTGGTTGAGGGGATTCTAAATCGGTCAATCTCCCTTCCCTTTTGTGTTTTTGGAAATCCAAACAGAATGAAGGAGACAACCTCCCCTCACTTCCACGCCGTTATCATTTGTCCCCATCCTTTCCTTTCCCTTTTTCTCCAACACCTCCAATCCAAACACTATGTAAGTTTCTATTCTAATTAGTTCTATTCTATTTAATAATCAATCACTTAAAAGTGTTACTTGCTTCACTTCTCGCTTCATCGTTTTGGCATTTTTTAGTCCATCACTTCACCTCACCTTTGCCCTTTAACAACACTAGTCCTCGTATTGCTAGCTTGTTCACTAGGCCTCACTTCTCTTTTGTCCTTTCTACCCTCCATCTCACATACTATTCATTGGTTTTCTTATCATTTCCCCTATGATTTGTAGCGTTTAAATGGCGTCCCATGCTTTTTTGTCTAAATTATCCTTTATAATCTCACTATTCATGAGTCCTAGTTTGGATTGGATTGGAGAAGTTGGAAGGAAAGGCAAGGAGAATGAGGAAGAAATGCTTTATTATTGTATTTGGATTATTGACTTTAATGAAGGGAGAGAGAGGTGGAGAGAGATATAACCTTCTTTAGTGATATATTTTCAATTTCTTTAAATTAAAGAGATTCAAAGGATTAACCTTTTACATTTATTTTTTTTAATTTTTAAAAAATAATAGATAAATATATTTTTTATCAATTATTTTTTAAATTAATAAATTTTAAAAATTTTATTTATATTTTAAAAATTATTTAATTAAATTAAAATATTATCCTATTTTCTCTATTTTTATTAATCCAAACAAAATCACCATCAATCATTTTCTTTCCTTAACTTCTTCCTTTCCTTCCCTTTCCCTCCCTCTACGTTTAAGCATTTCACACCCATTTTGAGTCCTCATGCACTATTCCTAGTCTGTTTTGTCACTCTTTCTAAACTGTTTTTTGGCCAAAGTTGGTTCTCCGTTTAACTGTTGCTTCAACAATCATTTAATTCTTTGTTGTTGCTGGCTTGCTGCCTTTGAAGGGGGAAGGTGGGGTGGGGCCGCTGTTCAAGAGGGAGATTTGCTTGGCTGGCCGTGTTTTCAGCTGACAGATGAGACAAAAGCACTGGCGATGGGAGAAGGAAAGGAGGAGAAAGTGCAGGGATGATAAAAAAAAAGGGCATGAAAAAGGGTGATTTTTCTTCTTTCTCTGGTTGTTTCTTTGAGTTTGAGGGATTGTGCTTTATTCAAATGGTTGTGCCAGCGAATCGATTGTGTTGGGAGAGGAGTGGGTCTGGGGGAAACTAGGATGAGGGAGCAAGGGAATCAAGGTCCACAACCGGTTTGAATCGGAAGGGGAAACTGGGATGAGTGCGCCGGAATCAGTGAAGGTGGGCAAGGCCACTTCTCATACAACTAAGGAATGGGTATATGTTTTTTCTGGCAATTAGTTGTTGAATCGGTTAAATGATTTATGTTTGCAAATTTGTTTTTAGTGGGTACTTTTGGATGCAATTTAGCTCATTTACGGAACCTATTTTGTTTATTGCTTTTCTTTAGATGAATTGATCTTTCACATGTGCTAAACACTTGCAGTCCAGTTTTTTGCTTTGAAGTATGCTGCTATGGAAAAATTTCAAGTTATGCATTTAGCATCTCTTATCTGGAAGCATAGTGGACAAGTTTTGGGATGAAATCTCTTACTGTTTATTTGAAAGGTTTGTGACTAGAGTGGCCCTACATGCTTTTGTGGCATCTTGGATAATTTCTGGTTGTAATTGTGAACCTAGCTACTGCCATTTTCAGCTGGGCTCCTTTTAATTCTCTGTGAAGGATGTGTGATTAGAATGCCTTCTGTGAAGGGATGATGTGCTGTTAATGGTATACAATGGCTAATCAATTGTCTCTTCTCTTTTGTGTTAGATTATAAGTATTTGAAGGTTGTGGTATTCATTCTTCTCCCTACTTCATTTTTTATTTAGTAATTGCCACAACTTTTTTCCTTTTTAAGTGAATATTATTAATTGGACATATGTCTATTGAATGCTTTGTTAACCATTCTTCCAACGTGTGAAATGTTTCTTCACAGTGTAATCAACTGATTTTGGTTGTATGCTAGTATTGTAGTCATTACTTCCATTATTTCTGCTTTATGTTTCTTGTTTGTCTTTCATAATAACCTATTATGTCTTAGTTCTCTATATATGTGATTGTTGTTATTTTTTTCCTTTTGCTTTAGGATGATTCAAGCATGGAAGATGATAATTTGTGGGTTGAAAATTGGAAACCAGGAATTGGTACCATTCTTACACTCTTGACTTGATGAATTTTTTAGGTGGAAATGGTTAAGATGTTGAGAATTGTTTGGGATCTCTTTTTCTTTCTTTTTCAGTGAACCAAACAAATGGTAAGAACCAAACTACGACATGTAGAAGCATTCTTACATTGTCTACTTTAGTTTACATTTCTACTTTTCTTAGACTATTTTTTCTCCAATTTAATTTCAGGAAACTATGTACTTCATTGTTTCTGCATAAATGCTGCTTTAGATGCAATTATTTTCTTCACTCTTTTTTCTAAATTTACTGGGAAGTGTTTTTGAATTTGACATGGTGAAGCAGTGGGAAGACAATGATGGTTGATTCCATGGCTAATGCTCCTGTTTATGATTATTGTGAATTTGCTAAATTTAATGTTATTTATTTTACCTTTACGTTTCATAACTCTCATGAACAAGTCTCTCTGCTTTTCTGTCTTCTCTTTATAAAGTTACCAACAAAATTCCCAATCATTATCAAACTCTTTGATTCACATAAATCCTAGCAATTAAAGTACAGTGAGAATGAAAAAGCCTGGAATTGGAGGACTACTAATACTTTTTGTTGCTAGGGTTTGTTTCTTTACCATCTAATGGCTTGTATAATCTTGGATATTGATTCGCTTAAAACTAACATTTTTTTTTGGTTTTTTTTATGATTTTATTTTTACATCTGCAAACTGCAGGATGAATGTCAATTATTGGGACCAATCTCATGAAGAAGCACCTTGCCACCTGCTCTCAGCTAGAAGAATTTGACAGAAGGAACAAGGTCAATTTTCTAACTTTCTACTCCTTGAATATGTTTATGAATTTTGGATAGAATGATTCATTAAAATTTAATGCTGCTTTTAGTGCTTAGTATGACTTCAATCTGTTATATATCACTAATTGATAATTTGACCAGGGATAAGAAAATGTTGAGATTGGATGAAAATTGAACTAAATTTATAATAAGGTTTGTGAATGGGTAGTAGTCAGGAGTGAAACGATTAAAAAGGCATTTTATATGTATATATATATATTTCATTGGGATATCAAGGCATCAGTGATCTCTCATATTGTTATCAAGCAAGAAGAAAAGTAAGGCACATTATACTTTAGGCATTTGATTCAACAGCTTTTGAAACTTAGTTCTTAAGTATGATGTGTTAACTATTAGATAAATCTCTTTGTACATTTTATGACTTTATTCTGGTTTTTGAGCCTGTTTCTTGACCTCTCTATTCTTCTTGAATTTTTTCTTCCTCTTCTTTTTTTTTTTTTTTTTAAACTTCAGACTAAGGAGATGGGAAAAGGTAAAGAGCAGAAGACAAGATTTGAATTGTAAGTTCTCTATTATTCATCTACTTAGCAAATTGATATTATGGCACTATGAAAAAAGTATTTGCATGGTGTGTCTGGCATCTACAATGTGAAACTTATAGTAGCTCTTTAGCAAAATGGTTTTTTTAGTAGTTTATAAGGTAAAATTACTGTCGTTTCCTTAATTGAACCAATCTTCTTTTATTGCCCCTTTTGGTTCTTGATTTAAGTAGATGACCATTGGCATGAAATTGACTGGGAGATTAAAGAAGAAATGACCAGCTTACAAAATCAGGTTTGTTTCCTCATTTGGTTTATGGGCCTCAACTAACCTTCAAGCTTTTCTTAGACTTTTGTATTTGTCCTTGCATCTGGAAGAATTCAGGAATCATCTAAAAGGTTTTGGCACAAACTAATCATCTAAAAGGTTTTGGCACAGACTAAGGAAAAAGCAATTTCCTCTCTAAACTAAGGCTTCAATTGGAAATGCTTTTTGGTGCTTTAGCTTTTGGTTTTTATGTCTTTTTACTATTCTAAAAATATATAAAATGTTAATTAAAATATATATTAAATATATTAAATATATTTTTAGGAGATTAAACAATCAAAAAACCTACAGCTACAGCAATAGCCCAACACTACCAATTCAAACTTAAACCTTTTTCTGGTTAGCTGTTTCTTCTTCATTTTTTTTTTAAAATTATTCATTAGCTTGCTTTATTATTTCTACATTATAAAATTAATCTGTTTACAGTTCGCCCAAGAAAAAAATCTTGATAATGTGAGAGTTATGGTTGCTTTCGGGAATTCTCCTATGCAGAAAGAAATGCTGGCGGAGGTAAGGGAGCATCTAGAGCATGCCATTTCTGAGGTTTTATTTTCATTTCTCATGATCTTTTTACCAAATGATTGAATACCCAACCACCAACTTGAGCTATCATTTGATATTCTTCTTTTATTTTAGATAAATTGCCCTTTTCTCTTTTTGGTTTGAGGGTTTGTATTTGGATAACATCTATGATTAGATAGTACTTATTGTAGTATGTTAATACTTGGTCAAGTTTCAATTGACAGATCTATAGAATATTATAGATGGCTAAAAGACAATTCAAGTTTATTGTAATCTATCTTCTATGAACCTCTCTTCCATGTTAGGTTTCTCTTTTCATTTTTGTTAGTTGGTGTAGAAAACAGAGTAACAAGAAGTGGGAAGATTGTTGATTCAAAATTAAGAATTTTGACCAATTAATGGTTTGTTTATTTTCATTCTACTGATATTCTTTCTTTCTCTATTATTATATTTTAAGAGCTGCAGGCGAGAAATTTTTCCCAGCAGCTTATTTTTAGAGTTTAGAATATCCTTTGCTATATTAATAATATATTTTCCCTCCTTTTTTTGATCTTTCAGCAAATATTCACCGAGATTTGGAAAAAAGGAGTTTGTTAAGTTTTTCATTTTTAACTTTTTTTCTCAGCTTACTGAATATGGCATTTGATTGATAAAAAAAATATGAATTTGTTGCTGAGGATGAGATTTGATAAGACTTTTTGTTGATAATGTTAATAGAAATAAGAACATGTTGTCGAATGTGGGATTGAGTACTTGAGTTATCATCTTTGCTTTTGACACTTAAATTTCTGTTATTAATGATTGTAATAAAAAATGGATTGACTACTTTTGGTTGAATAGCTTGATTGTGATCTTTCCCTTTTGGTTTTAATTGATAGCATAACTTGATTGCATTTCCTTTTTTTGCGATTGTGTTCTCTATGTTAGATGTGATTGCCCTTTTGTTTTGAAGCTTTTTACTATCTTTGTTCTTAAAACTCGAAATCTGTTCTTGAGTGTAAAAAGGTTTGGTTATTAATCTCGAGTAAATTGAAACTAGGATCTGGATAAAGTCCTTTGTTTTTCTTTTCATTCCAGAGATTTATGAATTTCTTGGAAGGATCCCTTGGGTTGTTTGGACATGATGCAGACTGCTAACGTGAAGTGCTTAATTGAGGAAGTTAATTAATTGGCAATTTTTAGGTTTTCAACTTTCTCTTTCGTTTTTTCAGGCAAATAGAAGGGTGGCATTTGAGGGTGTAATCAGTTATGCAATTTTCAGATTTGGAAAT